TTGTGCTAGCCTAGAGCAACTCAGATATATAATTATATACTGTATGGTTGACTTATACGAATATAAATCTTACTTTTCTTCTTTTCTGCCTAAAATCGTTTTTTTCGTTTTATTCCTTTTATGATTATTTTTCGAAGATAATACTTTAGCACAATGTTAGCACAACTTAGCACAACCTAGCACAATAAAAATAATTTCGAAAATCAAAAAGTGGGGGGCTACCAAAAAAAACGGTTTTTTCCATTTTTCTCGCTCAATTTTCCTATTAAAAATTTATAATTCGAGCACAATGTAGCACAAACCTAGCACAAATCAGCACAACTGTCAAAATTAATAAATTCGAAAAGTGGGGGGCTATCTTCATACAGGTATAGTTCCACCCTTTAAACCTGCGCTATTGCCGATAAAAAAAATATGGGTCTCTTATTTTTGGCCACTGTATAAATATGCCAAGTTTCATCGAAATCGGAGACACACACTTCGCTAATGTTCTTTGTAAGTACTCTCTTAAATAATTCCCGGACAATTCTCTAATATTTATTGTTTTGATTTTTCAACGTGAATATTTAAACTTTCAACACGGAATATATGTATATGTATTTTATGTTGAAATTTTAAACGTGAATATTTAATTAGTTAAATCTTTCAACGTGAATATTTAAACTTTCAACACGGAATATATGTATATGTATTTTATGTTGAAATTTTAAACGTGAATATTTAATTAGTTAAATCTTTCAACGTGAATATTTAAACTTTCAACACGGAATATATGTATATGTATTTTATGTTGAAATTTTAAACGTGAATATTTAATTAGTTAAATCTTTCAACGTGAATATTTAAACTTTCAACACGGAATATATGTATATGTATTTTATGTTAAAACTTTAAATGTTCGTATTTAAAAAGATCAAAGCAATAAGAATGTCCAGGACATTGTTGGGTAGGTATCTAGAGACATTAATTCTTTTATTTTACCAGCTGGCGTAGACAGCTACAATAAAAATCGTTGACATTTGAAGAACACTGTAAATCTGAGAAAATAAGAGCTTGGAAATTAGTGCGCCAAATTTCTGGGAGAAGTGAAACGATTAAACGGAACTTAGGAAAAATACAAACACGCTTGTGCGAAAAAAGCAAGTGTTATGTTTTCTATTTACTTGTTTTATTTGTTTTTTTTTCTCGTATACACAAGCTTTTGTTTGTACAGCTTGAAAAGTTCCTGCCTAAAACGCGCGATTTCCTTCAGATCGCGACTTTCCACGGAAACTTCAATATCATGCGGGCGTTTCGTGAGAAAATGTTATGACAAGATTTCCGAACGCATATTTTTTCGAATCGCTTTTTACGCCGAATGGTAAATATCGTTATTCATCCCTATAGATGCGCGTACACGCCGCCTTGAGCAGCAGATGGAATTTGAAAAGTCTGAAAGAGCCGCAAATTGAATAGGGGGAAGGTGGATTGAACATCAATCGTCGTAATGACGTTGCCGGCGCTCTCAAAGGCGTTTCTTTTGTCGGGGGGAAACGTCGGAGGTGGCTTTTGGATCGCGCCGGTACTTGAAACTTTCCAAGAGACGCGAAGACGAGCGAGATTGCTCGAGTCGCCAATTTTCATCCGGCAATTTTCCGAGTTGCGTCATGGACTCGGTCGTTATTCGAGTTCCGGCCGGCGAAATCCCAAAATTTTACAGCTCGCCGTCCCCGTAGAGACTTTCGGCTATTATTTCGCGTTATTTTCCACCGCGCTGCTTTCCCGCGCGTTCGTCTGCCAGGAATAACCGTTCTCGTTTTGCGCTTTCTTTTTCCGCTCTCGTCGAAACTTGGAACGACGCGCGAGCGCGCTTTTTTACTCCCCGTCGCGAATCGGAATTCGTTCCCGTTGGTGGCGGCCAGGAACGAGACTCCGTCCCCATGATTCCTGAGGGACCCCTAAAGATAGCGACACCCCCCACGTGTCGACTACAGTCTCGCGACCGTTTCGTCATCTTGTTTCGCCTTCCGCGAAATACGCGGTTGATTTTAGTAGCTCGCTCGCAAACTTACGTCTGCGAGCTTGCTCGTCACACTTTCAGGCAGAGAGATGTTTGTTAAAACTCCTGGCCTGACGGCCATGTCGGATCGTGACGTCAGAAGCGATGAATGGCGCGCAAGAATTTTGCAGCGCGCCATTCCCAGATAAAAAGATATTTTGTATAATTATTACTTCAGCTTACATGCCAAAAAGGGACTTGGTTTACAAAATTGTTCCTTAATACCACATTTTCATCCATATCTTATTCTATTTAACATCTGATACATTTAACATTTTAATTTATTTTGCATCCTACTTCTTTTACTTTTTACATTCTTAACTTCTCCTTTATATACTTTTATTCTTATTAAACTATGCTGATTATCTTAATCTCTTATATGTTAGTGATAATCGTTTCTACTCTCTTAAAATGAATCAGTCAAACATCACTGAACACAGTAAATATACACTGATTGCAGTTATAAATATAGCACGGAAAGTGCTCAGTGCTATACTCATAACTGATATCAATGACTATTCACTGATTCACTTTAAGAGAGTACGGTATCGACATTACTCGAGTTCGTCATCGACTCCAACGTCCCCTCAAGTCTTACTACTGAGAAAAATATTTGCAAATTTACTTGTGGGATATAGAGTTTATTTGCACAGAGATAAGTTTCATTTTACAGAAATAAATTTTATCCCAAATAAAATTTCATATGTACGTTTCTCTCAGTGTACGTCTTTTTATGCCTCCTCAGCGTTAGCGATCCACCTTCCTTGCCGCGTAAAACTCTGAGGAGAGTTCGAATTTGATACGGAAGAGTCTCGCGGAATGCAACCGCGCTACGATCGCATTTAATCTTTGTTTTGAACGACGACTCATTATCCCGGACACGGTATCAATGGCGGTGCAATTTGACGGCAGGTTAAGCTCGCTCCAATTAATTTCTGCGACTAACCACGCAAACGCCCGCGTACATGAACGGCTCGTATTTCGAGCACCGTGTTTAGCCGGAGCGTTTATGTATAATATTACCCGCAATTTGCGTTTTGCACAACGTAATGGATGCCTCGCGAACCGTACGCGCGCCTCTCCGTCTCTCGCGACCTGTAATTTGCCGTTTATGGCCGCCGTTGTACGCATAGCGATCTAGAAAGAATGTTTAACACGAAATAACCAACCGTGACTCGGGCACGCGAATGAACATTTATGCTTGCGAGTTTCCGCGAGAGTCAATTTACGACCTCTTGCCGCCCCGACCCTGCCATTCTGCCCCAAAAGTCGCAGTCCGCCATTATTCCGCCTATAAAACAACTCGACGAGCTATTCGAGGTTCGGAAAAGCGCCATGACCTCAGTTGAATTTTCTCCCATAATTAGTAAGCAATTATTCCTTAATACCACATTTTCATCTATATCTTATTTTATTTAATATCTGATACATTTAACATTTGAATTTATCTTGCATCTTACTTCTTTTACTTTTTATATTCTCAACTTCTCCTTTATATACTTTTATTCTTATCTTAAATCCCGAAGGGCAGAAGTCTCTCTTTTATCCTTTTGTTCGCTGCGAAAAATTATGTTACGTTCATTTGCCGGTAATTATAATTACGCGTTTGTTATTCTCTCTCTCTCTCTCTCTCTCTCTCTCTCTCTCTCTCTCTCTCTCTCTCTCT